GGACATTAGTCATCGTTGTTCTTTCAACCTTTTGAACCATTACGTCAGTCTACCATGTACAAAATTTACAAGTAATCATTATTTTTCTGATTCCGATTTAATGTGTATACTTCATCTTTTGAATATTTCATTTTTCTGAGCGTACTCAAAATTTAAATTGCATTCAAATCATGTGACAAATACTGTGTATAATATTTTATAATGTTTTTATGCGTATATTTTCTGAATTTCTTTTACATACTTAGGTACCTCTATTTTGAAGTCTATTACTTTTGAAGTTTTTGATAATATCCTCTTTTTGAATTCATTATAACTTTCTTGGAGAGCACAGACTTACATTGATTTTTGATTCAAACTTTTGATGTTTGTCCACATATTTTTGAGTGGTTTTGAACTTTGACAGTATTTTGTAGTTTGGATAGTTACATAGATTCGTTGCGATGTATGCCTTTGAGGGTCTTGCACTATCCACAGTTTCTTTAATTGAAAGTGTTTTCTTCATATGCATTTTATTTTCTTCTTGAGACTTGTCATATATGCTTTCCGCCTAGTTGCAAATCTGTGCGTATTGATAAACTCTTGAAACCTCTGGCATATAAGTAAAACTCACTTTTGATATAGTAATTTATGTCTCAGTTCAATACAATCAGTTCAATTTGATTTGAAGTAATTGTCAACTCCTTCTTGAGATTTTTCATATATGCTTTCAGCCTTTGTGCACATTTGTGCGTATTGCTAAGTCTTGAGCTTGGTTGCGACATTGCTTTCATGTTTCGCTATAGATTTTGAAATATCTGGTGATTTTGCTTTTGCATTATTGCATTTGTTTTGATAGTCTGCTCTCATAATCTTTTTTCCGGCTTCTTATTTCTTTCAATTTCTGTCTTGACTTGAAGTAATCGCCAATTCTTATAGATTCAGTATAGTAATTCTCTTTTCATACTTTACACTGGTAAATTATTATAGTTTTTCTAATCTTGTAATATTTCATATTTGAACTTAACTTTCATTTTACAATGTTATGGTTATTCTCAGTGTAGACTTTGAAGTGCGCTGATGATATCAGTGATCTACATGAGAATATTCCATAGACTATAGACATTCTTGTCTAGGGCTTTGGAATGCACCTATGGTGACCCTAGAAAGTTGTCTTTCTCTCATATTTTTGCTTTAAATCAAAATTCGAATTCTTACCTATCATATTTATTTCTATTTCTTGTTCACTAGATTTTTTTTATAACTCCAATTTTGCACCTACATATATCGTAGTCTTTTGCATACAATTTTTGCTTGCGGCATTACTCTCATGTATCATGATTTAATAAAATATCTTGTGATTTTCGTTTCGCTATTTTGCATTTTACATATGCTCACTTCGTTTCTCATTTATTACTCATGAAACTTTTAATATTTTGCTTACTTTTAAATTTTTTTGAGAACCCTTTATAAAATCATGCTCATATAGCTTTAATATTTCCTTTCACTTTATGATTTTAACACTATTAGATTTACAGTTGCACTTGTGTTGCACTTAGTTTTTTTGGAAATTTATTTTGCTCTTTTCAATATTGTACTTCAATTTTTTTTTTTGGTCTGGTTCTTATGTTGTCACATGACCCGAAAATTTTGATTGAACTTACTCTTGAATTCTAGTTCATTGATTGAACTTAAGCTATATTTTGACTTTGAAAATCTTACTTCAATATTTCATTAATGTCCCTTATATACTTTAATTCTCTGAAAATATTTTGAATTATTTTGTAGTCCTACAGACTGCTGGCGCCCGACAATTTTTTTGTGGAATCAGAACTGCACTTAGTTAACATCTTTTTTGATTAAAATACCTTCTTGATCAAGTTTTCATTGGTTTAGTACTTGTAAATTGTTTTGTTATATGACTTGAATTCCTAATGGAATTTGTTAATTTCTTTTGATTTTCATATTTTGAAAATAGTAATGCACTATTTTTTATATTGGATATTGGTTGGCGAGATAATCTGGCAATTGTTTTGAGAAAATTATTATTATTTTTTAGTACCTCTTATGGTTTAGGTACTTACTTAGTTTTGAAGTTTTTAGTAGTCAGTCGTGCATTTTTGATGCCATTGTGATTCGTGCTTGGACTACTGCTGAAGCTTTTGGTTTATTATTCTTCTCGTCCTAGGTGTGACGATATTTTATGTTTTGGGTTGTTCATCATATGATGATAGTTTTTTTTAAGTGCAACTTCACTGTACTTTTCAGCGAGTTGGTGCTATAACCATCCCTCTTGTTTGGTAGACTTGAGGCTATCCCTTTTTCTTCCAATTCTCTTCTAACATTTTTGTTTCTACCTTACTTTTACTACTTGTTATCTGGTCGAATGGTTGTACATTTGTCCTTCCGTGATAACTTTCAATTTCCTAGTAAAAAAAAAAAAAAAAATTCTTAAATGCTTCTTCGATTTTTTTTTTTTTTTTTGGTTAAGTTGGGGCGAGTGTAACGGTTTCACCGTCCGATCGTATTTATTAAATCACTTCTCGATTATCATTTCATTAATCCCATCTCTAGCTTTTTTGCTTGGAAAATTTTCCGCTTGGAGCGCTTGATGCGGAGTTCCTGATCTGCGATCTTCCTCGCGCTTCCTTTTCACCTGAGCCGCCGATCGAACAACGGCTAGAAATTTCTTCTCAGTAGCACAAGGTTATATAGCACCATATGCTAGAATTTTCTAGAATGTGTGTCCGTATAGGACAAAAATGATTGGGGCCACCCCCTTTCTCTCTCCCTTTCACTTTGCCTAGCCTTGGCCAATATTTTCACCCATGCATGTACCTTGGCAGCGCCATCGCCTTTAACTTTGCCTACAACTGGTTGTGAAGCCACTATATGGAGGTCACCCCTCATAACTGGGACCTCCCCTTCAAGCTCCTGGCCATCCTGGCTTCAGTCGAGTAAAAATGGACCAGCGAAAGATAAGTCGATAGCGTTATAGCAGCGCCAAAGATGTAAAACTTATTTTGTTATTTTTGTAAAATTGTAATGTAATGAAAATGCCTTTTTTTTGTTAAATAAAATCTGTTAAATTTTTGTGTTCTGTTTGTTCTTCTATCCTCTAGCCATGCCATGGTCGACACACAGCTACACGCCTGTAGATGTCTTCATGCCACCGACTGAGCTACCGGAAGCTAATGGTAACCCCCTTTCTGTGATTGTGCAGAAAAGTTGGAATCTTCATTGCATTCCATCTTTTCTGGACTTTTTGCGGAAAGGAAGCGTTACATGTTTTCCATAGCCATATAAATTGGCAAAGCATCGTACAAGAATCTATATAAATGAAATGCAAACAGAATGAGCAGTTTCAACCATAGTTATGTAGATACGAACTTCCACCAAACAATTTTCTGAAGGTGCCTCCCCCTACGGTTTGAGCTGAGTACGCTCTTGCATCCAAGGCCCAAGAGATCTGGTTGATTTGATTGATGCTTCTTGCGGAATATTATCCCTCTTTCTCGATACGTTGGAGAGAGACTTTTCGGCTAATGTAACTCCTGAAACTTAACCTGTGGTAGTCATGTTCACAGGATTCATTTTGTTTTCAGGAAACAGTTAATTTATTTTATCTACTCTTTTTTCCATGCAATGTATTGCGCGAAGCCATCATTATGATGGAGAAGTAAAATATCTGCAGATTTCAGATTCATTGAAAAACTATAAGAAAAAATCTGAAAATAAGAAATTCGTGGTACATTCTCCCTTCAAGGATATTTAACTTCATGCCGTTTTCCATTTATGCTCGAATAGAGCTAATTTGACATTTCTTCCTTTGTTATAATATGTCCTTTAATTCTAAATGTTCTACCAATGTAACATTAAGCGCAGTCACAGCCTATTTTATACTGTATAATGAATTTTTGGCGTCCATATTTTTATTAGTTGGTTTTGTGTTAGTTGTTTTGAAGGCAGTTCTGTCTTGGTGTAGGAATCTCAACCAAACTGAGCTGAAGCCCGCCAACAACAGGCACAGTCCTGACGGGGATCTTCCTCAAGAGTTTTGCAATTCGGAGTGTCAGAAGAATATTTCCTCAATTCTATAACACAACTCAATACTCTTATTTAATAGCAATATTTCTTCAAATTATTCATGAAACACGCTGAAATTTGGAATTCGAGCCCTGCCTCCAGACCCCTTGAATATTGAAAAAGCTCTAAAGTCACCTTCTTCGACCTTAGTAGATTGACTCGCTAATTTTCCAATGAACTGATTTTCAAGATATAGAGTACATCTTAAAAAGATGCGAATAAAAAACATGCGGCTGGGAACAGAAACATCCACGAAAACTATTTGAATATACTCGCAAAGTATTAAAAGCATCTTGAGGTCACTCAGCGTGAACTAACATTAATACAAGAACTTCGTCATTGCTATACAAAGGTGCCAAGTTCGGTTTTTTAAATCTGATTTGAAGATAAACTAGGTTAACCCAGACACCGCGTAGCAAACGCTCTGTAAAGGAAAGTCTCAGCTTTAACGATATACTGGTTGCCTCTCGTACCTCAAGAAATACGACGTACAAGCTTAGGTTTAAGTACGCAAGTGAGTTATAGATTAGTGAATTTCATATATCATTTTAAAAAGTATCAAGCCAATAATGACAAACTAAATCAAGTTTCTCAAATACTATCACCATAAAACAAAGCAAGAACCGTAATACCCCAAAGATAAAGGTTATGTAATGTTGACGGTTGATATTTGGAGTTGAATCTCCTGATCTAAAAAAGGTTGGAATATCATGAGTATGTTTGGCAACATTGCGGAAATTTTAGAACAGTCGCCAGATCCTCGTGAATACGGGTTTTATGGATACGGTACTAGTAAAAAACTCGCGTACGCAGCTCCGCTCATTGTTGGCTCAGCAGCCGTCTGATATTGTTATTTCCATTGTTCCCGCCAAGTGTGAGAGAATCTTCATAATTCGTTTCTGCATGCCAACGGATACTCATCTTCAGATAACAGGTGTATGACGACAAGTCCATTCAATACGTGTGAAAGTTATGCAGAGAGTTTAGTACCGATCAATAAGAAGACCACGATGAAGAACGGAGGGGCCGACTGTCAGTCACGGAAGCGGTTATCCAAATGATCCAACGTGATGTGGAATAGGAGGAACACCATCCATAAACTCCCAGGAATCTGAGCAACAAGTTCCCGGACGGCGATCCTCCTGTTTTGAATCAATTCACATTGAACCATCTCAATAACCGCCTCCAAGACTGACAGTTGTCCACTACGTTCTTTATCGCGAACTTTATTTATACCGGCATTAAACTCTTGCACCACTTTTGGATGTGTGGACATACACTTGTTGCCATGCACATCTGTCGACTGACGATGAATATCCACGGGTGGAGTCCCTTTGGTATGCAAGAAATGAACTGCGGAATGAATCTCCACTTGGCGGGATCAACAGTGGTAACCTCCATATCGAACGGCTGCTGAGCGAAGAATGAGCAGCGCAGCCGAGCCGAACCGGGGGAACCGAGACTGTGGGAGCATTTGCGCGTATTACTACAACATGTTAAGATTAATTCTCTCTCTTTTCTTAATTTGGCTATTCTCTTGCTTTGGCACAAGTAGAACACTCTTATAAGAGTAGGTGAGCGCTCAGTTAAGCTTATTGAATAGAGATTAGTAGTCTCGAGAAAACGAACATGGGCGCTGATTATGTATTTTGTAAAAATCGTCGTAGACGAGTACTCCTCGAGTTAGGGGGAATCGAGGATGGCGGAACAGGTGCGCCGGATATCGCCGCGCAGCTTTCAATGTGGCTGAAGCTTACTGGGAATCTTTTTTCATCATCCCTCATAACATTAAATTTTCTGTATCACGTTAGAATGTATAGAATTATAAAGGAACCAGAATGTCATATAGATACACGCGTCATGAAACCTCAATATAACAAGATGGTGATATTTGAAAATTGTAGTACTCCTTAGCCAATTTTCAACAAAGAACATGAGAACATCAAATTATGTGATCAAATACAAACACCTTATGAGAGTGAGTTCAATTTTAAAAATATTTCCGAAAATTTGTATTGACTTAAAACCGACCAAACATGAGTCCGTACGTCCATGTGTCTAGTGGCGAACAACGTAGCTTGTTAAAATAACAGGAATTATAATTTTAACATGCCCATTTATTAAAAACTGCACCCGAGATGGAACAATTCAAAAACCACATTTAATTTATATTTGTGTGGTCTCGCGTTTAATAGACCATTAATTTTTAAATGAATGCAGTATTTCGCCCCTAAAATTTTCGCCGGCTTAAATACAGTCTCACTTGGACCATTTTCACATGTAACACGCGCTACTGCCGAGCTAATCAAATGAATAATTCTACGATAAAAATTAAGTATTCATAGATGTTGCTCAAATTGCTTTTGTTCTTTGCGAATGGCTCCTGATGATCTCTGGGGCTAAAACGGTATCAATTTTTATGGATTTGTCTCTGCAATCGTAACTTGTTAACAAATAATAGTACAGCTCTAAAATTGTTTGTGAATATTCCACTGTCGTGGAACAATCGAGCGCATGATTTTTTCACATCGCTTTTTCTCTGCAAAAAGCCTTTGCCTTTTTTGAAAATTTAAAGAAAATCAAAGATATTTAGAAGAGAAAAAGTGATTATAAATGAGTGTAACCAACAACTCAGTTCTACTAATAAAAGTGGAACGATACAATTCAGAGCTGTACTAATACATATTTGTTAATAAGTTACGATTGAAAAAAAATTCACAAAAAGGGCATTTTTTTACAACAAAAAATTGATAGCTTTGTCTTTCAGTCAACTCAAAAGGATTTCGGATATTGATCCAAATAGGCACTTGAAAAAAAGGAAAATGCGACCTTAATGAAACAAAGTTCGATAATATGACAACCATCTAGGCAGAAAAACCTGTCGGCTAGTAACTGTTACTAATTTACAAATTCCATAATCAAATCATGATAAGTATTTCGGAATGCATTCAGACAGACGGTTTGGTAGGAAATCCAAACTGTCATTAGACAACAAGCTATCACTCTACAATATTTTGATGAAACCAATTTGGACGTATGGGGCATATCGAACAACAGCAAGATTGCCATCCTTTTGCATTTCCAGTACAAGGCACAGAGGATGATCCTCGATGCACCATCCTATAATACGTTCTCAATGAAGTGATTATATGGATTTAGTAATGATCAGTAAATAGCTTAAAACGAAATTTGTTATCTAAGTTGGAGATAGCGCTATGACATGAACAATTCATTTAATATTAGGAATAGATCAACTACGGGAATGATAGTCCACATACCTATTTATTATATGCAATTCGAAAGCACCCGTCGCGTATGTATATATATATATAACAAAAATAGGAAAATAATGGGCAAAATCCGCAAAAAGTGGATTCGAGCAGAAAATAGGATAGGTAACCCGAGCGATACGTATTTCTGCTGGTTGGCTTCATCAGGCCCGAAATGAATGCACATATGCAACTACAAAAGTAGATCCACATGCCCACACATCCGGATACGGGTGTAACCTGAGGAAACGAAGATGGAGAGGAAAAAAAGACACACGAAGTCCACATCAAGAGCCAACCTACACATTGTAGTATAAAATGGCTACAAGACCTCGAATTTTCAAGGCGACAAATAACCACAACTACGCGGCCGATTATAGCCACTTGCTGTGGTACTTCAAGCCCAAAGGATCTACAAAGAGAAAATTACCTATCCTATTTTCTGCTCGAATCCACTTTTTGCGGATTTTGCCCATTGTTTTCCTATTTTTGTTATATACCTTTCTCCGCATGATAATTTTCTATATATATATATTTGCGCCAAGAAAGCTATGTCACTTGAATTCCAAGATGGGATCCAAATGGAAATCAGTCGATAGACAAACAAATTATGTTCATGCTTTTGTTATCTATAAAACTATTTTTTGTTTTAGTTTATCAATATCACTAGATAATGATCTGTTTATCAAAACTTATTTTTCTTATTGATAACGACTGTCGTTAACCATATAGACCAATATCAATAATATCCAGTGTAGCAAAGGTTTTTGAAAAAGTTTTATCTACTAGAATGATTCGATACCTCACAAAATTCAAAATTTTAAGTGAAAATCAATATGGATTTACAGAAGGGAAGGCTACATCGGACGCAATAACTAAAATTGTAAATCAAATATATCAAAATATTGATAACAGAATCCCTTCAATCTGCATTTTTGTTGATTTAAAGAAAGCTTTCGACACAGTTAATCACAAATTAATATTAGAAGCATTGGAGAGAATTGGTTTCAGAGGAAACGCGTACTCACTGATCGAAAGTTATTTGTCAAATCGCCCACAATCTGTACAGATATCAGGATCATTTAGTAAAGAAATGTATATTAAGTGTGGTGTCCCACAAGGAACTGTCTTAGTTCCGCTGTTATTCAATATATATTTAAATGATATTTTCCAAATTAATTGTGTTGGCAAAATAACTAGTTTTGCAGATGATACTGCAATATTATATGAAGGCTCTGACTGGTCTGATCTGAAAAATGTAATTGAAAATGATTTTATCAAAATTATTCGGTGGTTTAACAGTAGAAAATTAAGCATTAACTACTCTAAAACACATTTTTTACCATTTGGATCTTATGCTAGACATCTGCCAAATTACACAAATTTCTCCTTCAATATTAATGATCAAAAAATGCAAATTAATAAAGTGCCCAACATAAAATACCTTGGAGTGGTCTTGGATCCTCACTTACGATGGGACATCCATGTCAATTATATTTTAAAGAAAGTTAGATTTGTATCCTACAAAATTAAATACCTTGAGAATATATTGACAGAAAAATATCTTCGAAAAATACCATGCACTGATTGAGCCTCATCTCACATATGGTATATTAGCATGGGGAGCTGCATGTTCCTCACATATCTATAATTTAGATGTTTTTCAAAAAAGTATTCTAAAAATGATATTTAAAAAACCGAAACTTTATCCCACTGAAAAATTATATGCAGATGTTCGAATGTATGATATAAGACAGCTTTATTTCTTACACAGTATCACTCACTACCATAAATTTGTAAACACCGACCAAAAATTAAACATAATCATTATACCAGGTACAAAATTCGTGGCACAGTAGTTCCTCAACCGCATAAATCTATAATGCAGCGATTATATCTCTATTTAGCGCCTAAATTTTATGAAATTATACCTAAAGACTTAAAAGATTTACGTTTCGGAAATTATTTCAAAAGAAATTTAAAAAAGTGGCTACATTCTATATCTAGGACTGAAATTCATAAACTCATAAATACGAACATCAACTAAATACATAATCTACTGTAGCTAATTTTTGTCCTTTTTTGTCATTTGCATTCTACAGTTTCAACTTAAATTATTGGTCCATGTACAGGCGATGCCTTCTATTGGGCCTGTTTTGATTTTATATTTATTTACTCATATCGTTTGTTATCTTTGTACATTGAGTAAATAAATATTATTATTATTATTATATATTTGTATTTTGTGATGAAGGAATGAATGTTTACTAAATAAATTCACCTGTGTGGCTTGTGATCTTCAGTCTTCAGGAACATTTGGCGAGATATCTGTCGCAAAAAGAACTTTAACGTAGCTAAGGAGTCGGTCATAGTAGTTTGCTGTTTTAAGTCTAAAAATGAACACCCAAATCAAACGTTTATATAAAAAAATTTGAAATTACCCTTAGAGTAAAACTTTCTCTTCAATGAGGCACCAAATCACATTATTTAAAAAAATATTTTACGAAAATCCGTTATTTATTTTTTATTCTGTTGTCACCAAATCTTTGTTCCTCAAAATGTAAAACTGCTATAGCATTTCAATCAAATTCGAGCAAGTAACGTTTGATTTCACTATTTACATAAAACATAGATTGTTCGAAATGAGGTCAATGTGGCTTAGGCCCGTATCGTCAGTCGTCCCTACAATTGTAGGGCGCGTTTATGGCCTCCTTGATTGTCATACTCCTTCCTCTACTTCAAAAATTTCTAGATTACACTTGTCCCGTGTCAGCGTCAG